TCTGATATCTATCAGCGCCTTGAGGTGAAGAGGCCTTCTTTTTTGGGACGCGAACTTCGTTGTGAACAAGAGTATGAACTCTTCGAACGAAGGGATGATTCCGTTTGGGAGTCGGTTATACCAATCAAGGCATATTCCGGAGAATGTTGATGGGAAGGTTATGCATAGCACCGCGTTGGAGTTGGTTTGGAGTTGTATCCGCAGGCAGAAGGTGCTGACGTGATCTTCTGGATCAGCCATCCCATTATAAGTTTGGAGGGTGGGCGCCATTTCGCTTAGGTGCTCCGCCATAATCTCCGCGCTCAACGGTTGATGTAGGGTTCTCCTGGGTGGGTTGGGACGGTATTGTGGGGATAAATGCTGCTCCAAGAAGCTGAGGTCCGCCCTCCCTGGTGGTTCGATTCGTTGCGCTTCAGTCGCGGGCAACTCAGCCGGCGCTTGTTGTGGTAGCGAGGCTGTGCCTGACGCCTCCCCTTGCGTTTGTTGCAGTGCGACAGGCGCCACATCCGCCGCTGTCGCGACTTCCTTGCTCATCATGAGCGCTATGACTTGGCTCATCTATTTTTGCATGTCGGCTATGACGCTGTTTTGCTTCGCCATTAGCTGCCTCATTTCCTTGGCTGTCAGTTCAGGCTCTTCTTCCTCAACGAGCACCACGTTAAGGTTACAGGCTTCTGCGAATGCCCTTGGGGCCATCATCGCCATGATGGGTGTTACCTCGTCGGGCAAGTTGGAGTTGTGTTCTGCCATTGGTTGGATTTCTGCTGCTTTTCTACTCAGCCCCACGGTGGGCGCCAATTGTTTGAACCTAACTGGGTGTAGGAGTGAGATTCACAAGAATGGGTCGAGGAGAATAAGCAACAAGAATCAGCCGGGAACTTAGGAACAAAAGGAAGGAAGAATGGAGTTGAGAGAATGTCTTTTAGAGAGAGAAGTTTGTTCTTTGCTTAGAGATAGAGTCTGCAAAAATCTGATCTCCTCACCCATCAGAGTAAATGCCATATTTATAGGCTACATGGTGGTGGGTGAGTTACATGGTGACATGACTACTGACATGTCAGAGGTCTAGACCATACCTCTACCTAGGACAACTACATTTAGTCTTTTATTATACCTAGGACTATGATGTGACCACTCATCTGGGGGGTCACATGCTGATTTGGTCAATGCTGGACTCGAGCGTCGTCGTTCGGTGTTCGGCCTGTGCCTTTGGTCGCGTCGGTGCTCACGCGCCCAACTCCTCTAGTGGCGGTGCGTCGGTGTTTCCTTTGCGCGGCGAGATCCGAGTCATATACCCAACAGTAGCCAAAAGTGTTGTTCTCCTAGCTGGTCATAGATTCGTTTTTGCATCCCATCAGCGCTCCGACTATTCTTTAGGCTTTTCGTTCTCCTAATTCTTGCAGCCAACATCCAAGGTCCAAACTCTTCGAAAACTTTTGGTATAATCTGCAGGGTTAGCTTCGGGAGGCTTCCTTGCTCATTCTTTGTTATGGCGTAAGAGTATCTTTTGCTGCTTTAAGTGGGAAATTGTTCTTAAGATGGCCATAGGAGAGGGGAGAGCTTTCTCTCTCAAGCTTTTCTCTTATGATTCTTTAGAGAATTTGAAATTTACTTTATGAGCGTTTAGTTTAGAGAAGTTACAATATCATTAGGAGAAGGAAAAAAAACTCATATTCCGATCTCTATTAGTACTGAAAGTTTGGTACCAGTATTTGGTATATACCGAATACCACACCGAATTAGTTACAATTTGGCGTAGTCATGTTCCAACATTGGCAAGGTAATGTCCAATAGTCTACCATTCTCTTTGAGAGATTGATCGTTATTGTCCTTCGCAATAAGAAAAGTGATTTGCCCAATAGTGACAGACCTTTTCATCCAAGTCACAATAACTTGTAAGTCACTGTAACAAAGTCCAAACATTTAGCATTCCGCTAGAATACAAAAATTATAATATCTTACATATGCCACAAAATTCGAATTGTACTATACACGAGTTGGTTTTTGCATGAGCACCTCTACAAAATGGAATGGAAAAAAAGATGCGATTCGAGCAGGGAGATAGATTGAGAGTAGTGATGTTGATAGTATAGTGTTGTTACTCCACAGTCCACACCCATATTTGGCCAAGTAGGCGAATAGATTCAGTCCCCAGATTAAAGGAGAGGAAGTGGAAAAAAAAAGGTGGGGAATGCAATGCTTTCCTTATCTAAAAAATGCATAAAGTATAGACGAATTTGTACATATGATGCTATTTATTTTGGAGTACATTGGTGAGTGATCTATATAAGTTATTTTTAATCGAGTTGATTTCTTCTTCATTTTAAATCTGATTTTGACATTTTTTACTCAGGAAAATAAATTTAATGTGATCTAGAAATAATATTAAAACTAGAGAAAAGGTAACTAAAGAAATGGACACTCTAAAAGTTCAGACAAGTTTTCATGAAAAATATTGTTCGAAGTAACTTTCTTGATTTTTTTGTTTTCTTTTCACGCTAAAGTAATTCTCTTCCAGATAGTGCTTACCTTCCTAATCTTCAGGAGTCAGCAGTCAGCACCATCAAATGTTCAATAGTTGAGATTAGTCAGGGTTTGTTTGGGTATCTTCTTTTTTCAGATCTGAGTTTCATATATGAGGATGAGGTAATAGTCCGCATCCGATTTGTAGTCGTTCGGAGTAGGTTGTAATTTTGGTACAATATTTTGGGATGTACGAATGTCGTACCGAATTTTTTTTATATTTGGTTATATTAAATACACTTATTATTTTATAAGATTGTGCTTGAATTTTAAGTGTTATTTGGTATTAGAAATTACGAGATTGTGATTGATATATACTAAAAGACTAACCAATACCGAAATATAAGGTAGTGTATTTTATCCCTCCCAACTGGACTTCCTCAGTCAGAACTACCAGACCCTCAACTACCAAGATGATCACTTAATTATACATAGCCCATTCTTTAACTATTTGACAAACTCATACCAAGCTTATTTTGTTATTAGTAGTATGTTTATCGGTTGCTTAGTCGTCCCATGTTTTAGTTTGTTGTGTTAGTTTGTTAATGTGCTTCTTAGACAACACATTTTTAGTTTGTTGTTATTATACTTGAGATTTTTCCTCATTTGTTTTGCACAAGTGTTGGCAACATTGTTTGTTTATTTATATTTTGAGAACGGCTTATGGAGCTTTTGGGAGATGAGAAGTATTTGCTTTTGTATATTTGATTTATAATATTTATGGGTATTAATTTGGTTTTTGTATATATCGATACCGAGCAAAATATTAGGGATTGGGATTGGAATGCAAATTTATTTTGGGATTGGGATTTAGTTTAGGACACTATTTGGTTTTTGAAATTTTGAAATTTGATACTGTAATTACAATAACGTACCGATTTCCACCCCTAGTTGGGAGTATGAGTTATAGTAGTACGCAGATCTGAGTTGTAATAGTCAGCGTTATACTTGTAGCCATTAGTACTCGGAGTTGTAGTAGTAGAGTCACAATTGTGGTCATTTGTTGTTTCTTTACTAAGTTGGAATAAGATCAAACTGAGCCTACCTTGATTAGTAATCGTGTTCCATCGGTCGAAATTGGTTTATATGTAAAACAAATAACAATAGAAAAATAAGGACCACAAGGTAAATTGTATTTCATACTACAAATTTCATTCATCAAAATCCATCATGAAATCTAACAAGCAAACACCAGACTTTTTCAAATTCATAATGAACCAAATTCATCGTAAATCCAAGGGTTTCCAAAATCTGAATTTTAACCAAAATTATTATTTTTCGAATCCAACTCGTAAGTATATAATTCCATCTACCAAAGTTTTTTTCTTACCTTTCTCCTTGCATGTGATGAATGCAATACATGCTAGGGAGTACCATAGACAATGCTGCCAAATAGACCTGGCAAATTATAACTCGACCCGTTGACCCGACCCGAAACCGCCCGAAAAACTAGAAATTTTAGTAACCCGAAATCCGAATAACCCGAACCCGATAACCCGTGATTTTTTGGGTCGGGTTGGGTGGGTTAGCAGGTCGAACCGTTAGACCCGTTTTATTTAATATATTATTCCCAAAATATGATAAAATCACTCATAAATTGGTGAGATGTTTAAAAAAACTCACAAGGATTTGAATGACATGTTTGGAGTTTAAGGATAATCAAATATCATGTCTTTCTTGTAGTAGTATTACTCTTGTGATTGATTTTGACGATTTGCGCAATTTATATTTTATTTCATTAGCGTGGGAGGATTTGAGAATATGTTAATTGACATGTGTTAGGTAAACTATTGTCATGCATATGTGAAAATTTATGTTCTTTAAGAAAATATGAATCATGTTTGATATTGTTTCTGAGAACGCTCATAACCCGAAATGACCTGTAACCCGACCCGAAACCGAATGGGTTGGGTCAATATTTGACCCGAAATAAGCCAACCAAACATGACCCGACCCGTAACCGAAGTTCACAACCCGAAATTACCCAACCCGACCCGATTGCCAGGTCTACTGCCAAAATAAGATTTTACATAAAACTGAAAACCGGTGTAAAATCAAAGTTGTAAAATTGAATCAAAATTCATATAAATTTACTAATTTGGGGCGAAAGAAGGAAAGTTGACTTAAAGATTTGATCCAATTCTGTTAACCTGGTTTGATTTGTTCTAAATTCAATCAATAAAACCCAGACCTTAAAGTCGCTAAAATCTTTTGAAAATATAGATTTTAACGATTTTAATTGTAAATAAATAGTGTATGATTTGAGGTTTATCAATTTTACAATGGAATTAAAACAAAAAAAGTAAGTAAGATGAGAAAATCGTACAAATTTAGAATTTGAATCCCAAATTTTAACTAGCTTACGTATAAATAAATAAAACATACTGAATATAGCTTTTCCTTTTTACGCTTACAAAAGAAACATTACTCGTATGCAAACACAGGGAGGAATAGGGTTGGGCAAGCGGGCGCCCCGGGAACGGCTACGGTGTTAATTGTACAATAGTTAGCACCGTCCTAACCAAGGGAAAAACTACTACTAGTTTGAATTAGTAGTGATTTAGCTTAGATGTTGTATTGATTTTATAATAATCCGTAGTAATTTTTGCTAGTTATCACGATGCTAACCCCTATAAGGGTTAGCACCTAATCCCATCCCGGCGCCCCGCATTTCGTTATGCGGATGGTTGATGGGTTGTGCTGGGAGTCATTCGTGAATAGCGGGTGGGTTGTGGGCGGGTGATTCGCTTAACCCAACAACAAAAATAACAAAGTCGTTGGCGCTGGAGAGGGGAGTGTGAAGACTTTAGACGGAAATTAGGGCTGCTCGTGGGGATTGAACCTCAAAATCAATCTTTTAAATCACGATCCCCTCTTCTTACCTTTATTTTTTCCTCTTATTCTTGTGCCTATGTCACCTCTCTTTCCTCTCTTAAATTATTTTCCTTAGTTCCCTGCAGTTGATAATCATCTCCATTTGTAGAAAACTCCTCCATAATACAATTTCTATCCAATTTTAGAATCAATTCGACATATATTTTCCTATTCAATCTCATTATTTCCGTTCGATAACTCTCTCCACCGATTATCATGCCAAGTTGACTTCTTTATATTTTATATATATATATTGTGATGTGGGTGAACCCGCAAACCCACTCACATCATCCACCATCCGCCCGACCCAACCTGAGACTAAATGTGAGTGGGTGGTGGGTTAAAATTATCAGTCCGTTTAAGCATGGGTGGGTGCGTTCTAGGGAGGAATGAGCCCTTCACCAGTTAAATACAAAGAAATGGTTAAAGTAGATAAACATAAGGGTTGGGAACTTGGGATAGGGTGCATAATTATATCTCGGTATTTGATTTTGAAAGAGATCAGATGTAAGGACTGACAATAAATGAAATTTTAATTTTATATCATTTTTAATCGGTGTGCATCTTTTTTTCAATCTAGATTATATTTTTTCCATAATAGTGAACGATTCATTGTGATCTACAAAATGATATTGATTTTTTATAAATTTCAAAAATTGTTTTCATCCCACTTGTTACCACCTTCAATTTTAACTCAAACTTTACATTTTTTGCATAGAATAACGTGTTCGTCGTGATCTACAAATTCATCAAAAATATTTTATGACCAAATATACCACCATGGTATTATGCAGACAACAACAATTGTACACTGTTATATTCATACCATCGAGGTATGTATCCACTCCACCATGGTATAATTTTACATACTACCAAACATTATCACCATGGTATGATGGGTAATATATGTCTCAAAATATTTTGTTTCAAATATCAAAGTAGATATTACTCTGAAAAGTCAAAAAAATATAATTATCGAATGCAAACAAAAATAAAAAATTTCAAGTCCTACATAAAGTGAAAGTGACATAGCCCGTTAAATTTAGTTAGAGAAAAAACTATGTATAGTCAGTAACCAACCAAGTCACTAACAAGATACACTCCCTAAACATATATAATAGATTTCATTAATTAAGATGAAGAAACGAGACAAGTAATAACTAATTAAAGCACACAAACACGAATCAATATTTTGACTAGTGATCGAAATTACCCTTCTTAATAAACACAAGCAAGCTACATGCCCACATTCATCATTACATATATATTCCATCGATCATATATAATTTAATATTATGACTAGAGACAAGATCCAACACTCTAGACTATACTAGAGACTAATTAATTAAGTAGCACCAAATTTGACAAAGGCTAATTGAAGTAAATCCTTATTTAAGTAAACTCCAAATCCCACCCTAGCTAGCTAGCTTCTTTTTTCCCCCCTCCTTTGTGAATATAATGCTCAAACTCCCATATGGTGAAAATTAATTAAGACATAGAGTGGTGGAAAGGCTTGAGCATCTGCACAAGTTGGCCACTAAGGTGTGCGGACATGATCTCATTGGTGGAGCCCATGAACTTGCCGCCGATGAACACCGCCGGGACCGGTCCGGCGGCGGTGCCCCCGAGCTTCATTAGGGCTTTCTCCATCTCCCTGCCTTCCGGGTCCTGGTCGATGTCGTACATCACCGGCTTCACTCCGATCCCTTGGAACAACATGTTCACGGCGTAGCACATGCAACAAGAGCTCTTGCTGAAGATCACCAGCCCGTTTTCGGACGCCAAACCCATCACCTTCTCCATTCCCTTCGCGGTACGTAATCTGTTCCTCCCTGAGATGAGATCGCTCGGATCGAATTCGAGGTGGATCGAATTCGATTCGAGACGGTGTTTTTGTTTTTTTGAGAGGTGTTCGTGGTTTGGACTTTAGGAGTGTTTACATGGAAGACTATTTATAAGGATCCAGGAGGAGGGTGTGTTTGTTACTGTTGAGTGTTTTTTTTTTTTTTTTTGGGGTGGTGAATGTAGAGAAGAGAGAACATTCAAAAGCGGAGGGAGATGCTGAAAATTTTGTAAGAAAAAAAAATGATGGTGACTAACGTGCTTCCAAGGACCGAACAATTTGGCCCTAGCAACGCCAAATAATAGGGAATATATGTTGGGTTTGTAGGCCATTAGTACTCTCATGATCTCATGTTAGGATCGATACTTAGCTTGTTTGCGTACCACGAGATCATGGGATCATACTATAGTTTGCTCTATTACGCACTAGCGTAGTAGCGTTGATTCTCAGAAACCGGTGACTTAATTTGTCTTGTATATATATAACATATATGTATTTAATTTTAGTTATCCTATGTGATAACTGGTATATCATTCACACCTTGTCTAAATGGACTTTTCTAGACTTTCACGTCGGAGCTATCATATTTGTCGGCAGCAACATGCACGGGCGGATTCAGAAATGTTATCTAAATGCGTTCTTTTATGAAAATTAAATAAAAAAAAACACAAGAAAATTCTTAAATAAGAAAATTTATGATTGTTACAAGTTACTACAAAATACTGCGATTTGTTTTCATATTCCAAAATACTTTGTATAAAATACACTCAGTTTTTACAGTACTCAACAAACATCTTTCAATATATCCTACTACAGAATCATTCACGAGCTGATGGCATATTCGATTCTGAATTTTGTTCTTGAAGTAATCCAAAGATGGAAAAAAAAAACATCTTTCAACACTTATGGTTAATTGCAACCGGTAAAATCATTACCAATCTCCACCATCAACTGAGCTATTTATTCAATTTCTTTTAGTATACATAATAACTTATTATTCCTCAGACAATGATAATCATTCTCCCATAGTAAAAAAAATGTAAGAAAGGTGACCAAACTCATTAGTATAAATTAAAATCGACTAAGGCTTACCATTTTTATTTATTTATGAATAACTAAGGCTTACCAATTTCTCCTTGTGTAAAGGAGAAAACTCATTCTTCATGCTCATACAAGTCTACAACCTGGTATTCACATCATCAAAGCGGTTATTCAACATTTGGAGCTGCATATCAAGAACCGAATAAAATAATTCAATCTAATAGTGATACAAGTTTGTATACCATAAGAAAATCCAATCAAATTTAGGTTTTAGGGACTTAAGAAATTTGGGAATTGGGTATAATAAGACTTCTAGTTTAGAATATAATTGTATTTATGTTTAAATCGTTACAAAAAATAAATTGTATTCTAATGGTGGTAAATATGTTGATTAATGATAGCATTTAGCAGAATAACTCTATTGAGATAGTCTCTTAGGGTCGTTTGGTTTTGGTGATACTTAAATCAATGCATTATGATCAATGCATGCATTGTAATATACATGCAATTAAGGAAAATGATGTAATATACTTTGCATTGTTTGGTTTTGGTGATAGTTATTTTAGTATTCAACAAGTTATATTACTTTTCGTGGGAAAGATAACTTTTGCCCTTGCTTTTATTAGAACATATGTATATAACTAGGGGTATTAATTGTAACAAAAAAAGGAACCAAACAATCTCCTCAAAACTATCTCAACAATCTCAAGTTTTAGTAGAGATATTACTATCACTCATTTTGAGTGATAGTTTCCATCACATCAAGCAAACAATGCATGTATTGTTTGTGCAGAAAATTCAAAAAATAATGCATTGTAACTATTCCAACCAAACAATCACCAAAACCAAACGACACTTGAGAAACATTACAAAGTGATAGGATAGGCAAGATTGGATTATAGAAAATTGTTGTAATAACATGTTATTTTCAGCCCTTATTTAATTAAATCCGGCCTGTGCCACTGGGATTTTCCCTTAAATATCGATGATTATAATGATAATCATCATTGTGGCATTAATTAATCAATTAATTAATAGCCAAAGACCTCACACACGTACTGGCCAGCGAAATAGAAAGGCAGGAAAGGAATATAAGAGATCCTGATCGCGGGCTGAGTCTGGGGTACTAATTAACTAATAACAAGCAGCAGTAGTCAAATATTTCATATATTGGGGATTCCCAAAATCCAATTCCTTTCTAAGTGCTGAAAGATTGGGAAGGAGATAGATAGTTGCCTTTCGGTGGGCTGCATGGATTCCTTCATTTCGATCCCTTTCAGTGCAATATATTCCTTCCAACAAGTTGCATGCATGGATTCCGTGCAACCAGTGTCCAGTATCTATTTGATGACCATATCCCCGCGAATCTCCCTACACTCAGCCACGTGCGAAGACCATTACTGTTAAAGTTGATATATGATACAAAATTGAATATCTTTCAACAACTCGAGTTATTAGAATTAACTGGTTTTGACATGTTGATGTTATCAGAGTCTTCTGTTCGAATCTCGATGACTTTGTTTGTTAAGCACGTGGTATTTGGAACTGTGTAAACTTCAAGTGTCTATAATAAGTAGGCTTTTTTTAGAGGGGTGTTTAAGTGAGTGGTATATTATCATGATTGAACTGTTTCTTACAGTTCGAGTTATTGGAATCATCAACTGGCACTACAAAAAAAAAGGAGGTTTTAGTTGTCCCCGGAAATAGGAAAAATCGTCCCTATAGTTTTTGGGGGCGACTAAGCCGTCCCCAGTGTGTGGTTTCCTATACTCTTGTCCTCTATTCTTTTGGGGATTGAAAAAAATATAGGTCGTCTCCATGAGTCGGGATGACAGTCGCGCGCAGGGTTGGCAAGTCGTCGTCTCGTTTCTTTTCCATGAAAGACAACATATCGTCCCCGTAGCTATAACTTTAGCGACAATAAGTCGTCCCCTTAACATCATTTCTAGGGACAAACTGTTGCCCCCACATAATCGATTTCATAATTGCGTTGGGCCAATATGGGCATGATTTGTTGTCCCTTTTTCCTTTTATAGGGTCGGCATGTCCTTCCTATAGGTATCAAATTGGAGTCCAAAATTCGTCCCCAAAATCTGTATTCAAGGACTACGAGTGGTCTCCTATACTATATCTTTAGAGACAACAAGTTGCCACCTATGACTTTTAGGGATGAACAATTGTCCATTAACTTGTGTATTGGGGAACGACTAATTGTCCCCTATATAACTCGTATGAACAATATGTTGTCCCTTAGCATGTGTCTTTGGGGATGACTAATTGGCACCTGTATCACTTATGGGGACAATCAATTGTCCTTTAAACTTTATTTTTGGGGACGCCTAATCGTCACCTATTAACTGGCAGGGACGACCAATCATCCCTTAAGAAGTGTCTTCAGGGTCGTCAATTTGTCACCTATATAACTTATAGGGACGACCAATCGTCTTTAACCTTTATCTTTCGTGATGACTAATTGTTACCCAGATACCAAATCTTTTGTGATTGAGTTCTGAGTTTGAGTGGTAAAGTGGAGATCATTGTGCCAAATTGTGTGTTTGTATGTCTTGGATGTGTTGTGATCGAGTTAATGGCACGGTTGATTAGATCGAGTCGAAAATCTTGGAAATGCCCGATTTTTCTCTCAGTTCACTGTTTCACCCTATTATCACGGTCACCAGACCATGACGATTAGGCTAAGACCGTGAATTCAGAAACGCATATCCGCTTTTCAAAACTCGCCGTTTTGGCCCAGTTCACGGTTCAGGAGTTATGTTCACAGTCGATTAGACCGTGAAAACTAACCTTTGTCAGTGAACTGCTGGCTCGTGCTATAAAAGGAGAGTGAACCCTTCTTCTTCACTTCACGCCTCCTTCTTGCCAGAATTATCTGAAATCTCGCTAGAAAACCGCGACATTGTTGTTCTTCGGCGATTTCGGCGACTTCCGACCACCCAAACCCAAATCCAAGACTAGACCCATTATCATCGTGTCTTGGGCTACCTTCCCCGAAGTTTTGGAGTAGTTTGACTCGATTTTTATTCCAGCGAGGCGACTTCCGACGAGCTTCAGACGAAGCTCTGACGAGCCCCTCCGGGCATTTTTTGACTCCCTCACCTTCCCCTTCAATCATACTGGAGTCTCAAGGTGTGTTTCTGAATTTTACCTTGTTAATTTTGGAGAATCGGATTAGGGTTGTAGGTGAGGGGAATTTGTGATTTATTGCATGAATGTTGAAATTGGGCGAGGGGTTAGTCGATTAATGTTGTTTGAATGATGCATGATGTGGTTTCGATCTTAGTTGAGCCTTGGTGGGCACGAATCGGGTATGAATTGTGTTAAAGTGTAAAAAATGCCCACCAAGTGCAAATTTTTGAATGAATGATTGAACCATGTTTTGTGAATGATGGTTGGTGGCCATCGAGGTGTGGTTTGGGTTCGAAATTTTTATTTTGATGAACCATGAATCACCTAGAACCACGCCCCAGTGCGTTTAGGGTGCAAATGAGCTTAAATAGTTGAAAACTGATCTTGTGAAAAGCCTTTGTATGCATATGACCGTGGTGGAATCCTAAGTGTGGGGGGGGGGGGGGGTCAATTTCTCCCCAATGATTAGTAATATATGAATGATTCCATATTTGGTGTATATCTTTGATGTTTTGCAGGATGGTTGATGTGGATCACCGGTTCATTCACTACCTAATGCATCACGAGAAGTATGGTAACATGTTAGAGCAATGGAGGTATGGTGATGTCGGACCTCACTGGTTTTTGGACCTAGAGATGTTCACCATGTTCAGGTGTTGGGCGCCAATGTCTGGGGTGCTCATCCATCCCTAGTGGCGACACCTCCTATCAGTGGACGAGCTCATCTACAGAGAGCTATGTGTGGAGTTCTACTCCTTTTTCTCTCACGTGATACCGTCCAGGAAGCACAACCAGCCATATGTTGAATTTATGCTGGGAGGTCGGCATCATGTGCTCACCTATGATGGGTTTGCTCATGCCATGGGGCTCGACCCACTCACATCACCATGATAGAGAGGGAGTACACAGCTGACTTTCGATTCCAAGAGGCCTTCCACGCCATTAGCCTTCTAGAGTACCAGAACAATGAGTTCAAGGGCTCCACCACCAATGCAGTGTAGCTCCGCACTCCTTGGAGGATCCTGCACATGCTACTAACTAGATCGATCATCCCCAGCTTGAGATCAGCACACATGATCACCAACAGAGGGTTGATTACCCTCCATACATTGAGCCGCCCTGCAACACCACTCCATCTGGGTTCAGTGGTGGCTACCACATTCTCAGAGCGATGGGGAGTGATCGAGTGGACACGATGAACTTGGGGGCATCATCACAAGGCTGGCCCGACACTTCGGCATTGACTTGACGGGATGCTCCATCATCGGTCAGACTGAGTCTTTCCCTGTGGAGATATTATACAACATGAAGCTGGTGCTGAAGGGGGATCGAGGAATTGATTACCTTGATGGACTGTGACCTTTGGCCGCACTAAGGCCCCAAATCAACCCTTCTCCAATGGAGTCAGATCTAGAGGTTCCTCCTCCCCAACAGCCAAGAGCTCAGGCCCAAAGTCGTCGCCGCCGTGTCGCACCACCACCATCAGTAGCATCATCCTCGGCGGGAGCCGAACCTTCTTCTTCCATAGTCCACCTCGAGGATCGAGTCACTCACCTCGAGGAGCAGTTCATTGGAGTCAATACTCGGTTGGATCGATCCACCGATTTGCTGGAGCGGATAGCTCGCAACCAAGGTGTCTTGTCGGACGAAGAGAAGTGAGGTAGTTGACCGAGTGAGACATGTGGCAGAGTTGTTTCTTTCGCCCCACTTCTCTACTTGAAACTCTGAACTTTGTTATTTTTCTGTTCTTTTCTTTTCTTTAGTTTGTGTGTAAACAACTACTATCGTGATGTCGACTATTACTATTCGTAATAACCTCGCCTTGAGCGAGAATGTGTGTGTGTTTTTGTTTTCTTCTTCTTTTTGAAGCTCAATTCTCCTACCCCGGTATTTGTCCAACTTTCACTTGTCATTGGTCGGTAACTTCTTCACACTACCCTTTTTCTCCATTGAGGACAATGTTGTGCTTAAGTGGGGGGGGGGGGGTGTATTAGTTGTGATTGGCATGTGATTGTGCGTGAAATTGGTTTGCTTGGAGCCTAGATGTCTTCCCAAATTTGAAAATTTTGAGGGCTCCAAGCATTGCATTATCAAGTGTGGGAGAATCTCATGTTTATTGGCTTTGACCTTGGATTGTTTACTTGTGATCGAGTGCATCCTATTATGATGATTGAGAATTGAATTAGGTTGGTGCAAATGTTTAGTTCTCATATGTGTGCAAATGAATGGATGTCTTGACTCGATTACTCTTTGATTACAATTGCCATGCATCGAAATTCGTGAAATTGGAAAAGATGATTGGGTGGCTAGGTATCCATGTGAGTTTTGTGTAGATCATCTTTTTCATGTGTGATAGATCCCTCTCGACATCGTGTGTAACATTCACCGTTGTCACTAGTGAGTATGATGGAGGCAAAGGATTAGTCCACGCCCTTTGAGCCGTGTGACTTTGGTCGTTCTCATATTAGGAGCTTCTAGCTTTGTGAGATTAATGGGAATTGACAGAACAACCCTTTTCCTTTCATCGTGTCTAAACCATTGTGAGTCATCATTGTGTCTCGGAGTTCTCGCTTTTGAGCTCCATTGAGGTTCTACATAGGTGGATTTTGCACGGTTCTTGCTAGGAATGAAAAGGTAGCGTCGGAGGAAAGTTCTTAACAGAGAACATTGTTCGTTAAGTGTAAAAATGACATGTGTTTAGCTCTCCAGTACCCCCTTGGAAAAAAGAGGGAAAAAAAGAGAAAAGGAAAGTAGAAAAAGGAATCGGAAAAAAAGAGGTAATAAATGGGGTAAATAAAGATAGATAGTTGCCATGAAGAAATGATGTGTTTGCTCTAGAAATGGTCTTTTGGCACTAAAGCCATTGAAATAACTAATTGATTGTTGACCTCCTTCATTACTTTGATTGAATTGTGGATAGCAAGATAGACCAAAGAAGTGTGCTTGAATGAAGTTCGTGATTGGTAGTGGTTTGGAAGAAGGGAAGTATGGTTTTTGGCCGATGCTAGTGGCTTTTGATCATAGGGAAGGTTCTAGTCGAAACCATAGAACCTTGTATCTTAGGTTGAAGATGTAGAACCTCAGGCTTTACTTGCCACCACCCAAAAGGCATTTTCCCTATGTCCAAGACAATTGTCAATCATTTGAACCCGTGTCTAAGACCTCCGGACAAGCTAGTAACGACAACCATCATGTGAACTCTAGCATTTAGAGGTTGCCGCCGTGGTGGAGAGACGATAGGGTTGAGTGTTGATGATTGTGCACATCTTTTGCACCAAAAGGTCCTGACCCCACTGGTCGAGAGTGAGTGATTCATTCTCATTTTTGTATATTCATATCTTATCCCGGTGAGGACCTATGTTGCCCATTCGTTTGTTCCTTGGACTTGAGTTCTATGCATGGTTAGTTGTGGTTGGTGAGTATTCTAGTCGAGAATTGTTTTGATTTGCGAACAGGGTGAGAAATTTTCATTTGCACGTTCTTAATGCATTCGAATGTCGTTTGTGGTGGATGTCGGTATTGCTTGTAACGATTCTTGTGTTGAGGTTTAATAGCCATTGAGATTCACCCACTTTGAGCCCTTTGATACGCCCCCAAGTTATTTTGTTAGGTTGAGATATTACCTTGTTTGGAATTGGTTTGCTTGGGGACAAGCAAACGTCTAAGTGTGGGGGAGTGATTCGGGTCAAAATGCACACAGTTTACCCCTTTTTTCCTTAGATGTTGAGGCGATTTCACCCAATGGGTTTGGTTTTGCGCTAGGTTATGCTTTGTTTTGCTATTTTTCAGATCCTAGCAGGTAAATCAACCATGAGAAAGAAAGTTGGACGAAAAGGAGCAAAAACGGGCCAAAAGGGAAGGACAACCACAGTTCACGCTGGAAGCCAGCCGTTCAAGGCTTGCCAACCGTAAGAAGCCTCCCCGACCGTGAAGTGACATGGTTCCATGGGGTTTTACGCACCTCATTGGACCTCGACTGGATCACGTTCACTGGACCGTGAACATCCGTCCTGGACCGTGAAGCGCATAAGTAAAACGATGCAAAGCTCAAGATCACAGTCCCCAGCCAATGTTCACGGCCATGAACTGGAAATGCCTTTGATTTATGTATATAAAGAGATTTGAGCTGAAGGAAGAAAGGGAGGAGAGCCTAGTGAAATAACTTCTTCTTTTTCAAGACTTCTAGAGAGAGAAAGTGACGAGCAAGGAAGAGGAAGGAGGCTAGGTTTCATTCAAGCTCAAGGTTTTGGGAATTTTCACTTTCAAGATTGATCTCCACACATAAGGAAGAAAGCATTCATCTCCAATATGGTTTTCTCTTCTCTCCTTTGTGTATTCCTTCTACCTAGCATGTAGTAGTCCTTTATTTCACTTGGGTGTTTGTGAATCCTAGCTAGAAACATGTGAAATTTTGTATGAATTGAATGATTTGTGTTGGTTGTGTTTGAATGCAAGTATTGATGTATTTTCATGGATGTTGTGTTGTGTTTTCCATTTCCAGCTACTTTTCCATTTAAAACATATTTTCCCTATATTGCACCTAATTAAGGTTTATACTTGGGCCTTGATTGAGATTTTCATTGTAGTGTTCGGGACGAGTCATGGTCACCGAGGTTCAGAGGGATTTTGGTCCGGCGAGGGTTGGTTTGGAGGAGGCTACGGTTTTTCTCCCCTTTCCTCCGCCCGGAATGATGGTTTCAGCTCTATTTCTTGGTTCCGTCGACCTTTGTTCCAGCGGTGGAGGAGATGCGGCAGAGGCTCCAGCGGAGGTGGTAATCCTTGGGAGGCATATGTTGCTAGGGTTTGAGTAGAGATCTCATGTTTTGGGCTTTTGTTTTGGGTTCTATTGGATATCCAATCAAGTTTGGGGCTTTGGGCTTGGAGTTTTTTCTTTCCTTGATTATTGTATGTGTTGATTTTTTCTTTTGGGTCTGGCCCATTTCCAATCTAATTGAACCAATTTATAAATAAAAAAAGACTTAGCTCCAAATGACCTATAGTGCGAAGACATTAAGTTATTGTATTTGAGTATATCGAATTTTGCGAAAGGTAACATAGCCTAGTGGTGAAACCACTAGACCAATTGAGCTCTGGATGTGGGAGGTCCTGAGTTCGATTCCCAGTGGCGCCACTTGAGCGTTCCCGGCGGTACCCTTGGTATCGAAGGCGAAGCCTCTCCAATGTTGGTAGCAGAAAGCCCGAGTTAGTATGTAGGTAGCCCCAGTGGTTTAGTAGGCCCCTCTGTCGCTCAAACGACACATGGGGTTGAGGTTCGCGGGTTATCAAATAAAAAGTATATTGAATTTCCCTTGTAATTCAGAATTTTTTAACGTATGCCCACTACTCTTTAAAATTTTAAGTTCATTTATTAGGAAGGATATGTTTAGACAAACTAATTCCCATCGAACTAGGATGTTACATATGTAGTATTAGTGTATTACTCTTTTGAGTTTTTTCAAATACAAAATTAGTTTTAGGTTACACACTTATGGATAAATGTTTTTCTCGAACTATCTTCATGAGTCATGTCCCATCAACTCTATTTATTTTAATCCTTCAAAGGACAGCTTTTCTCTTTTAGAAAACCCTGAGAATAATTTAATTGTCGGGAGATGGAAAAAAAGGTTTTTGCCTTTCCGGATATAGAGGAATACTAATTGGAGGGCCAACTATGCAGGAGAAAAGCTAGCAGCTAAGCATCACCTCCTTGCACTTTGGGAAAAGGCATAGCTAGAATCTTATGATTTGGAGTTTCTGAGGCCCTAGATTTGTATATATCAGAGATGCTTAAAAGTTAAAAGAACCAAGTTCTTCAATTAATCCATTGAAAAGAAAAGTTACTTCCGAATCATAAAATCCTTTTTGCACTTCTCACGTCAAACAGTTCAACTGCAAAAAGAGCTAGCCACAACAAAACCAGGTTAAGAAGATTAACTAGATTTAGGTCATATGACCCAACGCAGACAAGTAGTGATGCCAATTCCTAATATGATCCGTGTGATTCGATCCATGTCCAACTGGGCATTATCCGACTCGCAGTAAAGTCCGTGTTTACCATCATTTTTCATGGATACAGGAACGACGGTTTCTATCCCAAATCATGTTGTTCGTTCTTGATTTCTTTAGATTTTATCATGGCCTGGCAAAAACCAAAAACCAAAAAGTACAATGACGACAAGATGAAGGTTTTATAAATCAAATTAATCGGCCAACGGGCCGAGTAAAAACTAGCAACGATTGTGAGATGCTCATTTCCCGAAAACCGACGGGATAGGCGATTTTTTTATTCGATTTTTCAGAATTCGGTTTCTATAAAACTTACTCCACCTCATCAAAGTACTAGAAACAATATTGTTTCACAAGATAACAGGTACTTGATTTTGGTTCATAAGGCTGATTTTTTATTCGTTGCATCATTCATGTCTATTTCCTGCTAAAATTCACTATTTTTATCACGTGTTTCCAAAAAAAAAACTATACAACAATAAGCTATACACCCCATTACGTTATCAAATTTCATACCTCACCTTCCTCCGGCCAACTGGCCAGGGCCCACGCTAGTTCCTAATATGATCTGTGTGATTCAATCCATGTCCAACTGGGCATTATCTGACTTGCAGTAGCGTGGCTGGGCGGGGTATGAGTATTTTTCGATTTATCTTACCTGCCCCGCACCATTCGCGACCTGGTTGGTCATTATTTGCGTCAATATTTATATATTTATTTTTTTACCTTTTTAAAATCATATTTTCATCCTAAACAAATTTTGTATTTTTATTTTTCAACTATTTTGGACTTAATTATTCATTCTAGTATATTTCTCATCCATTTATTAAGTCTTTTCTTTATGTCCTCTTATAAAAGAGTTAAGTGTCGACATTCTTTTTCTAGCATTATATAGGAATGATTCGACCCCGTCTTGTCCCATTACCATCACTACTGACAAGTGTTGTGATAATTTTTCAAGACGCAGGAGTTGATGGGAATCACATGCCCAATTATACATGTTGCCCAACCATAAATCAAATTTATTCTCTTTGTCAAGACAATAATGTTGTATAGGATAAGTTAATGATAGGGTATTTTTTGTGTTTAAGTTAAAGATTTAAATATAGTTCGATTGTTTCATACCAGTAAACCACTATATGAGTTTGGACTCTTATAGGTGAGATTTCCGATCGGACCACCAATAATGTACGGGTTTGCATACACCAATCAAAAGTTGTAATTGGTTAGTGGAATTGAACAACAACAACATTTAGTACGTACAGCACAAAATACAAAAAAACTTAAAGCATAATATGAAAAAAGAAACCGGTATTCCGTTCCTTTTTTCCCCCCTCCTCCCTCGAACCAGTTCGTTCGAATTAAGGAGTACAATTACATCATAACATTTAGTACGTACAGCGTATTAAGGGAACCTTGATCGTAAAAAAAGACAATCAAAGCCCTTAAACACACCATTAATTGTCTGAGCTTAACTTAACTTAACTTACATTTTCCCCATACAGAAAGCTAATTATTATTGCAGACGCGATTAATTAGCTGACAACGATGCGGCGGCCGCGGGGGCTAGAACCAGATGGCATTTGCGTCAATGAGCAACTGCTTGAGTGAGCCATCGAGGTGGAGGGACAAGATCTCCTTGGCTGAGCCCACGTACCTCCCGCCGATGAACACGGCGGGGACGACGGTCGGGCAGCCGATGAGGCTCCGGAGGGCCCACTCCAGCTCCCTCCCGTTGGCCTCGCGATCCAGCTCGTGGATCGCGGGGCTGGCACCGAGCTCGTAGAACAGCTGCTTGATGCTGTGGCACATGCAGCAGGAGCTCTTGGTGAAGATCACCGCCGCCTTCTTCGATGACAAGTCTCTAACTCTCTCCATTTTTTTTTTTTGGTGGTGATGGAAACTAAAACTTGATGTTTTTTTGCAGTTAAGGTTTCTAGTAGTTGATGATGATGCTGTTGTTGAGGTGCGATGGTGGAGAGTTGAGAGATTCATCGGCCCTTATTTATAACGAAAGGGGTGATGGTGGTGGAGGCAAGGAAAAAAAAAAAGGAGAGGCAAGAAAAAACAAACCTTATACCATAATAAAAATGGATAAAAAGATTGGTGGGGAGAGGGGTGTTTTCTTTTCAGATATTTTGTTTGGATAAGAAAATTGGGTTTTTTGAGGCATCCATGCATGAGGTTTCTGGACTGTGACACTATGATGTTAAACTAACTAACCACTAGGTACGTCTGGTCGTTGGGTTATGTCAAAACACCTTGTTTAGTGGTTTCTCGGTTTATTAGGCATCACGCGTACACTATGACAGAATTAAGGCAATACCTAGGCGTGTCGGCTATAAGTGTAATAGGCAGAGCGAGCGAGCGAGAGAGACTATCAATATAGGAGGGGAAAAAAAAGGAAGCAACATCATCAACCTTTTCAATCTTTCCCGGTCGATTTTTACAATAGACGAGGAACTTTATAAGCTATTGACCCATAGTTCTATATTTTTTTGCTTTTTTTTAAGTGTTACGTAAGTTAGTTAATCACTTGAACCGAAGAGTAAAAATTCTCTAAATTGCTAGTACATTCATTATTTAGTAAAAAACGATTGTTACGTCTAAACGAACTAGGCGCTATTCCCTTTGAACCTTGATATTAACTAGTAATTAATCCGTGTTTATCAGTTTAGAAAAGTTGCATATTGAATAGTCAAGTCATCACAGCTTAGTTTTAGTTTAAAATTTCAGATGCCGTCCGTACATCCTGTTAACCAAAGGATGATGAGTAATTGATATATATTGGAATATAATTGGAACAAAGATCAGATTTTGAGCACTATTAATATAAGCATACCACAGCTTTCGGCTACTGCCCTAAGCTATATATGGATAAAATCAAATTAATCTATTATTAGCATGTTGGGGATGAGGTCGAATTAATTGCAAGATTTTCTTCTCTTTTTTTTTTCATTTATGAATATTGGATTAAGAGATAACGAATATGTACTGTTTATCATGTAATAGATGCAAATGGTGTCGAATCAATAGAGGAATGTATTAAGGAGTGATCAGACAGAAAGAATTTTTTTCCTCAAGTAAACCCATAACAATCGAATGTCAAACAGGGTGCAGAATCTTCTGGCAATAGCTATATGGCTATCCATGGATGGCTAGCACCACCTTGCTAGCTTGGAAAGAAAGATTCGTCATTTTGCATTATTATATCAGAATGAATTTTACAATGCTATATAGAATTGACGGGGTGAAATTGAAACCAGATTGATTTTAAGCGTTTATAAGTTCCGCTTCACGGGTAAAAAAAATGATAAGTCCTTAATAATTTAAGTTTCGGTTAAAATCGAAAACCGTTAGTGAAACAATAAGTTTTCAAAGTATTCAAGCGTTCATTGTCGGTATATTCTTATCATTAACCGAAAAACTGATAAGTCTTTTAACTGTTCTGGTTGCGGGTTTGTGCAAGTAACTAATGGTGCTTTGGCTTGCAAAAAATCTATATGGTACAAACTGAACTTGTACCATAACGTACCTTTTTTCTACAAATTTCTATATGGTCCAAGCCCGCACGGTTTTACTCTTGGGTGTCCTCTCCAAAAGGCCTCGTACTAATGAGCCTGGTGGACACTAATATACAAGGGTTCCATCCCTTGTATTACCGATGTGGTACTTGGATTGTCCCACAACAATCCTCCCCTCAAGACAAGGACCACGAAATTCGTGTTCTCACCTCAGTGATTATCTTGATCCGCGGACACCTTGTATCGATGGGCTTCTCGGTACAAGGATTTTCCCAAACGCGGAACTCTCTTTGATTCGCCAAACAAACGTGGATCTCTCCTGGATCCAACAAACAGATGCAGATCTCACATCCTGAGGTCCATTATATTGAATGAGGGTCCCAACAAACTGACGTGCACCGCCCCGAACCAAACCAGGCTCTGATAACATTTGTCGAAACCGGGCTGCTCATTAGTACGATATTATCCGCTTTGGGCCAAGCCCGCACGGTTTTACTTTTGGGTGTCCTCCCCAAAAGGCCTCGTACTAATTGGGCTAGGTGGACACTAATATACAAAGGTTTCTTCCCTTGTATCTCCGATGTGGTACTTGGATTGTCTAATAACAAATACAAACTAAACTTATATGATAACATAAAAGGACAAATTGTTTTACGTACAATTGAACTGAACTTATATTTTTAATATTATACTAGATAGGTGGTTGCCGAGCTCCGCAACGGCCTGAAGTTGGTTTTATTATCTTTGGTGGTGGCGGTCAACATCCAATTTAAAAAATTTGGTTATTAAATGATATTAACCTAAATCCAAGTAGACCCATTGATTATGGGTAGGGTATGAGTGACGTATATATGGGTTTGGAAGTTTGTAGATGGCTTTGGATACGGTATGAATATTTAAATTCATAATCTAAATAAGTATGTGTTGGGTACGGATACCCATTTATTCGAGGGTGTTTTAATTACACATATAAAAATTAGACCTATTTGTAGAACTTCAAAAATTCAGGTACTAAAATGTAATACACAAAAATTTTAGGTACTAAAATATAATGTTTCATCAATATTTTGAGGATTTATATGCCAAAAATATAAATTTAGGTTGATACTTAATTCCTTTTAGGATGATGTATTTAAGATGATAATTATTTACTTTTTCATAGAAAATAGGAAACTATTTATTTGATATATGTATAATTGTTGAAAATTTCATGAATAATTGTCGAAAATTCTAACCCGGGTGAAAAAGAAAAACTCTAGAGAGAAGCAAAATGAATATAAATTGGAACTCGTTTAAAATTTCTTTTTTCTATAAGGAAACTCGTTCAAAATTTCACGCCTTCAAATCCCATAGTGAAAAATGATGACTTTCTAATAAGTAATAACCATATATATTTGTTTTTAATTGGTTAAATTATTAATTCTCTAGACTGTTGGTCAGTCGTGCATGGACTCGTTCATAGTTGTGATTAGAATACATAAAAATAATAGTATACTAATTAGGGTTAGACGAAGAAGACAAAGAAAGAAATAAAGAAAAAGGTTGTGGAAGGCGAGTGAAAAATGAAACGAAGAGTAAGTAGATGATGGAAAAGTTTTAGGATTTTGCTATGGTGACATGCATGTCACCATGACATGGACTTTTCGGTCGACCTAATCCTAAAGGCGGTCGACCTCAATTCATAGCATAATTGATGAGTCCTTGTTATCATTATTTATGACTAGTTATGATGGTTTAAAGCGTAATTTAGACGAGCAAAAGAACCACACAAATCGACATACATAAGCAAAAAGACACGGGGCATAGGTTGACTTTCTTGTATTCGCTCGACCTCGTACCGGATTAGGTCGACCTCGACACCAACACTTGATCTTCATTTTACGTCAAATGATTGGATAAATTGATAGAACACTTATCGTCTATCTGGTCGACCTCTTTCTTTATCTGGTCGACCATATTGTTAATGACTGCCATCAAGTGGTCGACCTATATACCTTTACGGTCGACCATGTTGTTTCTGACGCCAACGAAATGGCCGACCGAGGTTTATTCTGGTCAACCAAAAATAACAACTTAAACTAAGAACGGTCGACCAGGTGGTCTTTGAGGTCGACCGCAATGCTTTCTCGTGCTGTCCAAATTAGTCAATTCGGTCGACCGCCTTCAGGATTAGGTCGACCGAAAAGTCCATGTCACGGTGACATGCATGTCATAGTAGGCATACCCAAAAAATTATAGGTACAAAAATCTCATAAAATTTAGATACCAAAACTTAATTATTCAATAATTTTACATTAAAATTAAATTTGGGTATCAAAATGTAAAATTTACATTATAGTGACTAAGTTGTAATTTAATTAAATTTAAAGTATCAAAATATAATAATTTAGGCAACAGTACTTCACCTTTATATATATTAATATAGTACAAGTTAAATTTGTATTTTGAAGCCCCTAATTATCAACTTCTTGCCGATGATAGAGTCACATCATTATTATTATTGGTTCTCAGAATATTTGTGAGGGGTTTTTTCCACAGCGAAGACACGTCGTAAAGATGCATGAGAATAAAAATGAGAGCATATGATGACGCAAGAGGATTTCCTGAAGAGAAAAAAAAGTGATTATGGAATTCGAATAAAAGAGGAGCTATATTGCCATTGTAAGTAAGTGGGGTTTCTTATATTTTGTGCTTTAGATTTCGACTTTCCTTCAATTATTGTGGGTTTCTTAGTGTGGTTGCGTAACATAACATGCATACCTTAGAGCTTTGGATTGGGGTATTCTCATCGATCCATGTCTATTTGGGATTTCAGAATCTCCATGGTGCTGGGCTGACGTGGAAAAAATATGAGAGTTTATCCATGCTATCATCCACTGTTGGAAATTTGGTTGAACCGGACTAACCAAGTCAAATCGGTTTTGGGTTGGACCGACCAACCGGTTTGGGATTTGACCTACCGAACCGATATTCTAATTCCGTGAAGGGACACATCGCTTTGGCCTAGTGGCGGTTGCATTATTTTATTTTATGGATAAGGATAACCTTATGGATAGAGGCAACCCTTCATATGGATAAGGATAACCTTTCATATGGATAGAGGCAACCTTTCATATGGATAAAGGCAACCTTTCGTATGGGTGAAGGCAACCTTTCATGAAACAATGCATGGATTCGGCCCCTATAAATATGTGTGGGGTGGATGATGCGACATACCATCAAACATATTCTTATTCTTTCTTCCAAAAAAATGTTGGAAATTTGGTTGAACCGGACTAACCAAGTCAAACCGGTTTGGGATTAGAGCTACCGAACCGATATTCTAATTCCGTGAAGGGACACATCCCTTTGGCCTAGTGGCGGTTGCATTATTTTATGGATAAGGATAACCTTATGGATAGAGGCAACCCTTCATATGGATAAGGATAACCTTTCATATGGATAGAGGCAACCTTTCATATGGATAAAGGCAACCTTTCGTATGGATGAAGGCAACCTTTCATGAAACAATGCATGGATTCGGCTCCTATAAATATGTGTGGGGTGGATGATGCGACATACCATCAAACATATTCTTTTTCTTTCTTCCAAAAATTTTCAAGTATATATGCTTTAGTGTTCTTGAGCCTGGAACCTAAAGTGGTGATAGTTTTATCCTCGGGAGAAATTTCGTGTAACCTTAGGCTTGTTGAGGGTGGAAATATTTTTTTCAGAAAGTGAACGTTGTTCACGACTCTATCACAATCCTGGTCACCCGGTCTTGGGCTATCGTACGTATACCCTCGTCCCTAAAAGTACTCCCAACAATCGAAAAGAATAATTTTCCGGTACAATGGCTCGAACCGCTTTTTACAAGAAACCTGTTCCGGTATATGGAATTATGAGAATGTTCGATGATGGGTTTTTCATCGATGGCAGTAGAAGATGGGTTTTCTTCGTACTTGTCTCATGGTGTATTCCATATGCGGAAGGTAACTTGGAATATGGATGATTAGAAGATGAGGAAGAAGGAGAATGATTTGTAAAATGGAGAAATAGAAGAATGAAAATTGTCTTTGGGTAGGTCACATACTCAATGGTTAATTAGTCTAATTCTCTATTTGACATTTACGAAGTTCTAGATAAGTTTGGATTTGTCTAGTGGTTTGGTGGTGTGATTTTGTCTAGTGGTTTATGTTATTTTAAACCAAGGAGACAAAATTGTATATACAATCTTTGATGATTCTGGTAATAGAGTCGTTGTGTTTGTATGTAGATGACATATTTATCTTTAGGACCAATCAAAGGTAAGTGACTTTTTCTAGTGGTTTATGTTATTTTAAACCAAGGAGACAAAATATATACACAATTTATGATGATTCTGGTAATTGAGTCATCATACATTTGTATGTATAAGACATGCTTATCTTTGGAACCAATAAAAGATAAGGGAACTTTGATAAAAAGTTGTTATTTCAATTCTCCATGAAGGACATGGGGGAGGCAAATGTGATTCTGTGTATTGAATCAAGCGGAACGGCAAGAAAGATCCTTCTCTCAATTTTTCTGCATGAGAAGGTACTTGCATAAATTCCATAGTAGGAATTTTAGTGAGTTAAAGACCCCAATGGATCCAAGTATGGAACTTATGGTTAATACTGGAAATCAGTTTTACAACTGGAGTATTTCATGTCAAATTGGGGGCTCGATGTATGCATAACTTGCATGATGCTAGATATCGCATACGCG